GTTTCGGTGGTGTCGGTGGTCTGGGTTTGGGGGTTTCGGTGGTGGTGGTGGTCTAGGTTTGGGGCTTAATCGTTCCCTCTAAATCGGCCGTAGGAAATTATGGGAAAAAGAGAGGTACCGCCATTAAGACGCAGAGCTTGAAACTTCATCTTTCAGTTTTCGTCTCAGCAATGAAGCAGAATGAAGATGTTGCTTCTACTACTTGCCTAATTCTGTAATTCCCCAAATTTTCAGAGAAGAAAGAAGGAAATTGAAAGTTGACACTGACAAGTCACAATATTCTGGGAAAGCCTTCAACATACAATGTATTCCATAAAACTTTGAACGAAGTATATGGAAAACTAATTTGCAGTAGTTAACTAGTTATAAATTTTGTAATTTTTTTTTTCTTTTTTTTGTGTGTGTGTGAAAGGTTATTGTAAAATCTCAAACATAAATTTAAAATCTGTGTTGGTTTTAAGCCTCTAGTTTTTGGCATGTTGAAAGCCTATTAGCTCAATTGGTCGAGCACCGTGTAATCACGGGATGTAGGTTCGAATCCTACATAGACTTTTTTAATACCCTTTATTTTTATATTTAGTGACCTCTGGGTAAATGGTGTCAAATTGATTTAATTACCCGAAGTTTATATATAGTTACCTTATTTTCGTATATAATGACCTTAGTATTATGGAAATGTTGTAAATTTTGTTTCAGTCACCTTATTTTTGTATATATCAATCTTGCTGGATTTTCAGCAATATTGCAAGCTATAATTAATATAGTTATTTTATCTTTGTATATAGCGACCTATATGTAAATGTGGTCAAAATTGATATAGTTACCCTACTTTTGTATATAGTGACTTCTATGAATAGGATCAAAATTGGTATAGTTACCCTATTTTTGTATATAGTGACAAATGTTGTAAAAATTGATATAGTTACCCTATTTTTGTATACAGTTACGTTATTTTTATATATAGTGACTCTACGTTATTTTATTTTATTTTAAACCGTTAGATCTTGTTAGTAACAATGGATGGTTGAGATTTTCTGTTTTTAGTTTTCACCATAAGCCCTGTTTTCAGCGGAACCTCCCCGTATATATATATATATATATATATATATATATATATAGTTAGGGTTTGCTTGGATAAGAATATAAACCCTAGATCTATGTAGAATATTCTAGAATGATACAAGGAGTATAATGGGCATCCACACAATATTTCATAACAAAATACAGTTAGAGTTTAATCCTTTCAAAAAAAATTAATAAATTAATAAAAGTAATTAGGGTTTAGTACCCAATCTACATGTAATTTACCAAAACCAAAAAAACAATAACAACTAAAACCCGATGGTTTAAGTTAAAAAGTACATCTTTTTTTCAGAAAAAAAAAAAAAAAAAGAGTACAACAATCTAGAAGTACTGGATAGTGCTTCATGTAATATCACACATGGTCTTATAAGCTTTTAGGCTTTGTTCTTTATGTTATATTTTTGTTAGGGAAAATCAAAAGTTAATCCGAATCAATTTCATAATCTTATAAGCATTGATGAATATTAATTACGAGTAATTCATACTATTTTTTTATGTTAGTCCATAAATCATTGAAATAATGCTTATACCAACCATCAAACAATGTCTTTCAAAAAAAGTAAACCATCAAATAATGTAAATTGACAAATTGAGGAGTCAAACAATAAATTTAAGGGATATCAGCCTTTTGTCTGAATGTAATTGGAGTGTAAGTCCCACGTGGATGAACACTTATATTTCTATGCGTATAATAAACAATTGTACGTGTTATCAAGATTAATCACTGAATCAGAACGACTAATTTTACTAATTGAGGATTTCATTAACTTTCCCTACTTGTAAAGGTCTAATCTATAAGTACTTGATTAAAAAAAAAAAAAAAAAAAAAAAAAAGTAAGAGTTGAAAATTTGATTAGGGCTTTTCTCTTATGAAAAAAATTGTTTGCACATTGCTTATCATCAAGTCAATTGAAAACCACTTTCTAATTTTAACTCCCTCCATTTTTTAATAAGTGTCATGCTTTGACCGACACAGAGTTTTAGGAGAATTAATTGACTTTAGTAAAATATTGAGTAAGTGGGGTTTTATGGGGAAAAAAAAAAGGAAATATTGTCAGGAACTACCCGCTTAATAGGTCATTTTGTCAACAAGTACTCGCTTAAAATTTTTATCAAAAAAGCTACCCACTAAATTTAAAAATTTTGACTGACACTACCCATTTTGGTTTTTTGGCAACAAAATCCGGCAAGTGGGGCTCAGTTTTGTTTTTCCTTTCAAAACTTAAACACGAAATGATGAATCACACGATTAAGATGCCAAAACAAGTGAATTAAACATAAATTTAGAAGCATTACATATCTCTTAATTAAAACCACAATTTTCCCTTCTTCAATTGGCGAAATTTTAAAAAATTTGTGTGTTTAGATTGAGTTGTTGTAAAGGAGATGAGGTTGATTGTTATATACAAGGTTTAGGTTTAAGTTTTGGAAGGAAAAATAAAATTCGTCCATATTTTTTAGATTTTGTTGCCGAAAAACTAAAATGGGTGGTGTTACTCAAACTTTTTAAACTTAGAGAGTAGTTTTTTTGATAAAAATTTTAAGCAAGTACTTGTTGACAAAATGACCTATTAGGTGGATAGTTTCAAACAATTTATCCTAAAAAAATATAGGGAATAGATAGTGGGGTAATAGTTTATTGAAAAGTAAGTGATGTGAGAGGAGAGAAATAATAAAGTAGTGTGAGTGGGACCATGTGAGGCGAGAGAAATAATGAAAAAAAAAACAAGAGAAGATATCTAAAATTAGAAGCAGAATACTTATTAGAAAACGGAGGGAATAACAATTAAAAAGAAGCGGAGGAAGTACGTTTGATTTTAAAGGGTGAATCCTTTTTAAAAAATTTATCGGTGTGTAATTTACCTCATATTTTGTGAGTATTAGATCGTCTTTTTAAAAGTTAGTAGATTATAATTAAAATATGTTTACAAACCTTAAACCCTAAATCTTGTGATTATATAGATCATTTATATTACCGAAGTACTGTATGTATTCATGTAAAATAACATTAAATTTTGAACAATACATTTGCCAGGCTGAATTTTGCAGTAGACATGAATGTGATTTCAGCGATTGGAGATATAAACAACAAGATGATGCGATTCCTATGAGTCGTATGTTTGACTTTGCTGCATGATCTTCTTCCTCCGCATTACACATTACAGAGTGCCGTGGAATGTTCTAACGGATTTGAAGTTGGAGATTACTTCAAAACTTTTCAAGAATTTGGATCTCGCGTCTTCAATCCTATTGTAGGATTTCAAAGGGATTCGTCACACGTATTATTGTGAGGCGATTATGCTGGATATACTGGAGAATGGATTCGTAAAGTAAAACAAGGTGATACATTTTGGAATTATGTCCAAATTGCTCAGGGGAATAGAGAAAAGAAAAGGTTGAATGCTGATACAAAAAAGGTGTGTCGTCAAATTGTGGAGGTGATGACCGAGCGACATCAGAGTGATCAGATCACCGGAAAGCTACCGGAGAATTTAAATGTTAATGCTGCTACTTGTGAAGTCACATTCACCTATTTTTAAAGAGTAAACTGTAAGTTCTTTCTTGCAATCTAATATTTTGTACTATGTTAATATGCTATGATATTAATTGATATCTTAGTTTGGCAGGAATTTTTTTTTTTTTTTGTTAAGAGTTTAACATATGCCCTTTAGGATATTTACAATGTTTCAAAGCTTCATCTACATAAATAATATTGTTTTATTGTATTTGTGGTGTATTGTTGTTCTTTTTCTGTATATTTGTATATTTTTCTTAATCATTATATATAATTTGACATCTTTAATTCTAACTTTATTTACTTAAAATGTTTCACGTAATTTGTTAATGTATGAATAATTTTAATATAATTGTTTTATGTTATTTGAACCCACTTATAAATAATGCAACATTTGCCACTGCATATAAATTACAAAAATCTTATCTATTTTGTGTTTTATGCAAATATTTGAAGGGTGCAGCTAAGGAGCAAGAATTGTGCTGATTTCTGTTGAAATTAACGATGTTACTAGACATCATCCAATTCTAGCTGAGTATTATGCATATTTGCTTATTTTATTTTCCATCAATATAATTTGAATATGTGTTACAATGTTATGCTTCCTACCCGAAACCTATTAATCTCATTTATTATATTGATTTTGTCAATTTAAGAATGAGATTTTTTGGCATACGTTTGTATGTTCAATCCGTGGGTATTTTTAGCTATTTTTGATTGATTATTTTTTAGTGGTCAATCAATGTCTTCTAAATGTTTTATCACATTTTCAAAAAATCACCCTTAATCTTTTCCAACTAACCCATTCAAATTTTGCCTCAAAATTTACTTGACCCAAGTTAACGTAACTTTTATTGTGATTGTTCTTGTATTCATGGGACTATATTTCAACATTGAGGGATTGTGTGTGTTAATCGTTAAATTGAAAATGTTCGATTGTGTAATACCCGTATTTTTAATGTATTTCATAAATTATTTATTTATTTATAAAATATATCTTGGGTCAAATTATTTTAGTTATTGGATTATAAATAAAACAGGTTTTAATTTTTGGGTTAATAAATATTCTATCTAAATATAGTCCATATCCAATGGCAGATCCTAAAAAAAAATATTTAACAAGGTCAAAATACATTTAATTAATTTTAATGGGGTCAAGTAGGTAATTTTTATGGAAAAAAAACTCAATTTTGGAGAAAAAGAACTTAATTTTATAGGGAATTTTTTTTTTTAAATGTACAAGTGGGTCACTTGACCCCACTTGGTATAAGGTGTATCCGCCATTGCCCATATCCAATTATTCTATTTTTACATTTAGGCTAACTACTTTATCATTCAAGACCATAATTTTTATGAAACCCAAACCTCCCTAACCTACTCTGCACTATATCCTAGAGGTGATCATTGGGCGGGCCGGGTCAAAGCTAAAACCTTCTGCCCACTTCTCGGGCCGGAATTTTTGTGCCCAAACCTGCCCAAAATAATCGGTTCGTGCGGGCTTTTCGAGCCATTTTTCGGGCCGGGCCTAAAAAAAACTAAAAATGCATAAAAAAAAGCATTCCCAAACCCGCCCAAAAAAAATAAATTTTCGGGCAGGGCCGGGCCCAACCCGATTTTGAGACAAAAATTTCTGCACAAAATCGGGCCGGGCTAACTTTGATCACCTCTAATTTATCCCCAAAATTTGCCCTCACAAAGTTAATAAGACAAAATGTTAGTTTTCTCCTAATTTTCCTTTTCTTTTCCCTTTTCTTTTCTCCATTCTTTTTCCTTTTTCCCTTTTGTTTACTTGCCGTAGGATTTTGGGTGGTGAATTCATGAAGTGTTGCTGCTGTCCACGTGGCACGAGCTGCCACCCTTGGACGTCCGACCACCGCCGGCTATCGATCACCTTACCGGCGACCTGCTATCGACACACAACCACCCCCACCGTACCACCTTCTTCTTCCCTTCTCTCCTCTCTTTATCTAACTTATTTTGACAATTTTATATTATGGGTTCTGATTTTTATCATTCAAAGTATGTTTAATTAGTCTCATAACTCATTATCATGTTTTAATTGTTTACAATCATAAATTTCAGATTATATAAAGGGTTATTATTTTCAGATTTCATGATGTTTTAAGTTGGGGTTCTAATTTGTAAAGACTTGATTTTTAGGGTTATAATGTCAATTAATTTGGGGGGTTTACATGTTTCTTGTTTCTAATTATAATTGGGCATATAAAAGTATGTTTTAAGGGGTTTTTAATTAAGGAATATTGCTGGAATTTTATTTAAAGTAGTAGTATTTGATTTTGATGAAAGGGTTTAATTACCCATTAAAAGAAAGGTTAACTAGGGGTTTTAAATTAATTTTCAGATTATTATAAGTTGTTTAAAGTGGGTTTAAGTTGTTGGAAATTGTGCATCCAAGGGTAATTAATAAAGTGTTATTGTCCCTTTATGCAGGAGACTTAGTTCGGGAATTATTCTAGTGTATACGGCTACTTTAAGAGCTTATTCGAGGTAATACACGTACTCGATATTTGTTAAGCGTGTAGGAGCATGCTAGGATTTGTTTAATTAATTCCAAGTTAGTATAATGCTAGGTATTGGTTGAAATTGTTGGATTGAATTGATTTTGATGATTGGTTTGTGAGGCATGATTTATTTGAAATGAAGTATTGATAGAATTTCTGATGTTAGAATTATGTATATGGACCACACTTTTATTATTGGCATGATTGAAGACATGTTTAATTAAACTAAATGTTTAATTTAGTTTGGAATATAAAAAGGGAATTTTATTATGGTTCATATAATTTTTATTGATGCTATAAGCATGGGAATGGAGCTATTAAGTGTCTTAGTACACAGGAATAAAATGAAATGCGGTGCCTAAGTGCACTTAAAGTGTTCTAAACACCGAGGGATAGGATTTGCGGTGCTTTATGCGCTTAAGGTGTTTCAACACCGAGTTATTTTTTTAAAAAAGGGGTTCAACATTAAATTATGTGTAATCACTAAATATTTAAGAATTGAATTGGAATGTTTGATTACTTCAATGATTTATGTTGATTGATTGTGTTGTGGATTGTGAGTCATCACCAAGTCTAAAATATGTAAACAACGTAAAGTAAAAGAGATTATGCACCAAAACTCTTGGAACGTATATAATTCGAGTATGAACATATGGGGGGAGTTATGAGGCTTTATATTTAACCATAGCTTCCACTGGGAGTACAAGACGCTGTATTTTCCTTTTATTATTTTTATGCGTAGGACGTCCGTCACTTTCATGTGACATCTATGCCTACCCGGTTAGCTCCCGGAGTAGTTTACCCCAATTCTTTGGGGCAGGGATTTGGTAGGAACCTTGTTCAATACGTAATCAATAAATAAGCAAATTAATTATCTATTATTTGAGTTGTATGATGTATGCATGTAAACAGGTCCAAAAAGGTAAGTTTTGTGATGCTAAGATGTATGCATGTTAGTGTGTTTTGTTTACGCTTATGTATTTAGCATTGCTAATTCTGTGTTTGTATGTTTGTTTGGCCCTCGTCTTTATCTTAGCCCTACATACGACGACCCATTTCAAATGACGAGTAGTGGGGACAAAGTAAAGAGAAGCTTTTCAGGTGATGAAGCATATCCATGTTGGGGAATGAGTGAAGAGTGAATCTTGCTTAACTTATATAAGAATATGATATGTTTTATTTGCTTTAATTATTATTTATTTACTTGTGAGACTAACGCAATGTTTTAAATATTTGATTTGGGTTTTGAAAGGGCCTACAAGGGTTCCAAGTTGTAAATTGACTTTGTTTGACTTGGGTTTGAATTTACTTTCGTTTGATTTGACTTTAAAATTTGGTTTATTTTGAATAGTTTTTGAAATGAGTCTTCCGTTGTGTGTCTTTGATAATTGTCTTAGCCGTTATCACCATGGCGGTAATGTCTTAGAATTTCCTATTTCATATTTTAAAAAGGGCAAAACAGGTATTTTAAAAGGGAGGAATTTCTGGGGTAGGTGTTACCGATTGTATTCACATTGTCTAGATGTGGTCGAGATTGTGAATGTGAGGTCGTTTGAGCAATCCATTTTTAATCGACAAATTTGGTCATAAATCTATGCAATTGACTTAATTTCTATGATTTATTTTTTTTAATTTTGATTGAATTTTTAAAATTTAATATCTTATTTTATACTCCCTTTGTCTCCATTTGTTTGTCACTTATGCCATTTTAGGTGCCCCAAAATGTTAGTCGCATTTCACATTTTCAGGTGCCACCCAACGAAACAATTTGACAAATATGCCCTCATATTTTTGTCTTTATTACCTGTACTTCACAATTTGCCCTTATATTTGCTCCTGTACTTGTGCCTTATTTAATTCTTGGTCTCCATTGAATTTTGTTACTCTGACTTACTTTTTCAACGTTATTTTCTCTCTCTTCATTTCTACATCTACATTTCACTCATTTTCTACACTCTTCCACTAAAGAACCCTAGTTTTTTTTCATTCTCTCTCTTCAATTTCGCATTTTAGGGCTGAAAATCTTGGGAAAATTTGTGGATCGGTGCTCTACTTGTTCACATGGATCAAAGCCCTTAACTAATTTTGCGAATCCTTAGACTTTTAAAGGTGCTAGCTTAGGTATCGTTCTTGTTCTTTGCCCCCCTCTCTGTTTGTTTTTACAATTATGTTGCGAAAAAATTGCATTTTTTTGTTGAATATTATGGTTAATACAAATGTTTGGCATGGAATTTGTTTTTCTCAAAGTGATTTTCCTCTTGGATTGTCGATATTGTGTTGATTATGTGGGCTTCTTGAATTGTTATGATGTTGGATGAATATTACGAATTTGTGGCTTTTGATGAATGATTATGAATTTGTGGGTTTTTCATGAATAATCATTGGCTTCATGAATTGCTATGATCTTGTTTCTAGGGTTTCATTGTTTATCTGATTTAGGGTTTCGGTGTTCATCTTGATCTTGGTTTTCAATGTTTACCTGATTTAGTGTTTTAGTGTACACTTTGATCTAGGGTTTCACTGTTCATTTGATTTAGGGTTTCAGTGATGAGATGACCTAGGGGTTCACTATATCTATTGAAAGGTTTATATCATGATTCCTCTTGTTTGAATGTTTCATGGATGAAACATAAATAAAGGATCCATGTATTCACCTGTCAAAGTGATAAATTTTCATTGTGAATGTCCCTGTGAATGTCTTCCTCCAAAGAATGTGAATGGCTGCCTGGTTTTTTATGTTTCATGATCAAAACTCTCATGTGTCTGGACTGTTTCCTCTCAAGTGTTCCAATTTATGTTGGGTTGATGTGTTTGTGTTAATGTTTATGGTTTAAGCTGTCTGTGATCAAGAGTGAGTCCCCTGGTTCAGAAGAATCACACTCCCACACACCCACAGCTATGAAATATATAGAAAGCAAAGGGCTTATAAGGATGAGGTTGATCAACCGGCCAAAGTCCCCTTGGAGAAGCAAACTAGTTCAGAATTTGACAGGTTGTTGTATGCTGATTCCAAATCACACTACACTTCTGAGACATACTAGTGCACTGATAGAGATTGTGAATTAGGAAGTGGGTGTGAAGGTGACCTGTAATACCCCGTATTTTTATACGTTTATTAATTTAAAACGTTATTTTATGAGGTATTTAAATAATTCGAAATGAATTATTTACGGTATTTTAATAATTTAAAAAGGTTTATTTTAATTAAAAATTCATTCTTATTTATTTATTTGTTTTGAAAATATTTTATTTTATTATTTAGAAAATTTAGGGCATATTTAAAATTAAAAGGAAGTTTTAAAGTCAATGAAATTTTAAAGAAAGTCAAATACCATTTAGAATGGGAGTAAGAATCATTAAGGGTAAAAAAGGGAAATCAAGTTAGGAGGGTTTTGAGAGAGAGTATAAATACCCACCTTATGAGCAAATTAAACTTTGCCCAAGGTGGAGAATACCCAAAGTTAAACTATCTTTTTCTCTCCTCTTATTTTTCTTTCTTCTTAATTTTTCCCCTTCTCCTTCACTCACCTCACACGCACATCACCACCAACAACGGTGGCCGGCTGCCACCACCACCGCAGCCGAAAACTACTAGCATGGAGCGGCAGCAGCAGCAGCCGTGTGAGGTGGTGCACCGGCCACTCTCCCCTCCCTCTTTTGTCCGTGTGTTTGTGTAAAAAAATAAAAAAAAAATAAAAATAAAAAAAAACCTCTTCTTCTTTTGTTTTAAATTAATCTAGCTTTTATTAATTATTGTTTTTGGGTGTGTGTGATGTTTTTAATAATGATTAATATGTATATAATTTTCAGATTTGGTTTTTGAATTAAAAAGCCCCTAATTGAAAACCCTAGGTTTCTAAATTAATGCTTATTGATAGAATTTAATTGTAGTTGATTATAACTATTAAAATTAATGTTTTTAAACTAAATTACAGCAAGTTTAGGAGTTTTTATAATGCTGGAATTTTTATGTAGAGGCTAGAATTATGATTCTTGAAAGGATTTTTAATGACCCATTAATTGGGAATAAAAGTAGGTGGTTTAAATTAATTTTCAGCATGCTTTAGAACGTTTAAAAGTGATTTAAAGAGTATATATTGCTGAAAATTAATTATGAATGGGTATTAATGTCTCTTTGTAATTTTGGGTTATAGGAGACGTCCAAGTAAGTGATTTTGTGTAGTCGTTATTCGAGTTACATTCGCGTACTCGGTAATTATTTGAGTGTATAGAAGCATGCTAGACTTTGTTTAATTAATTCCAAGGTAGTATCATGATAGGTATTGGTTGGAATTGTTGATTGGATTGATTTTGGTGATTGATTTGTGAAATATGAATTATTTTAGGTGAATTATTGATTGGAATTAATCATGTTGGCATGTTGATTGGAACCACACTTTTAGTATTGGCATGATTGAGAGCATGTTTAATTAAACTAAATGTTTTATTGAGTTTGGAATATTGAAAGAGAATTTTATTATGGTTCATATATTTTTAATTGATGCTATAAGTATGGGAAATGAGCTATTTAAGTGTCTATATACACGAGGATTTAATTACATGTTGGTGCCTAAGTGCACTTTAGGAGTTCTAAATACCGAGGGATAAGATTTGTGGTGCATTATGCGCTTAAGGTGTTATTTAACGCCAGAGGTAGTTTAAAAAGGGTTCAACGTTATACTAAATGTGGTCACTAATTATTCAAGAATTAAATTGGTATGTTTGATTGCTTGAATGATTTATGATGATTGATTGTGTTATGGATTGAGAGTCATCACCAAGTCTAAAATATGTAAATAACGTAAAGTGAAAGAGATTACTCACCAAAACCCTTGGAACGTATATACCTCGAGTATGAACATATGGGGGGGGGGGGGTTATGGGGTTTTGTATTTAACCATAGCTTCTACAGGGAGTACAAGATGCTGTATTTTCCTTTTTTATTATTATGCGCAAAGATTCCGCCACTTACGAGTGGTTCTTTTATACTGGCACAGTTAGCTACCGTGTTAGTACCCCTTTATTGGGGCAGTTTAGGGGGGAAGCCCGTTCGATACGTAATCAAATTAACTAAGCAATTTATTTATTTATTGGTTAGTTGTGTTGTATGTTGTATGCTTGTGAACAGGTGCAACAAGGTAAGTTGTGTGATGATAGGATGAAAGTCTGTTAGTGTGTACTGTTTACGCTTATGTACTTAGCATTGCTGATTGTGTGTATTGTATGTTTTTTGGTCTTGTCTTTATCTTGGCCCTACAACGAACTACTTATAATGGCGAGTAATGGGGACAAAGTAAAGAGAAGCTTTTCAGGTGATGGAGCATATTCTTGATGGGCATGAGTGAAGAGCGAATCCTGTTTAGTTTCCGTAAGAATATGTATGATGTATTTTATTTGCTTTGATTCGTATATATATTTGCTTGTGAGACTAAAGAAAAGGTTTTATTATTCGTTTGGGTTTTGAAAAAGGCCTATAATGGTTCTAAGTTGTAGGTTGACTTTATTTGACTTCGTTAACTTTGGTTTGACTTTACTTTAGTTTAGTTTGACTTTTGAAGTTGACTTGTTTTGAATGGTTTTAAAGAGAGTCTTCTGTTGTGTGTCTTTGATGATTTCCTTAGCCGTTTTCACGGTGGCGGTACTGTCTTAGATTTTCCTATTTCGTGTTTCAAAACAGGGCAAAACAAGTATTTTAAGGGAAAGGAAATTGTAGGGTGTTACAAAGTGGTATCTGGGAGGTTTGGTTGAGATTTTTATTACCACTAAAGCCAAAAACGTGTTTTAAAGTATTTTATTTTAAACATGGCCAAGTGTTTAATTAATGAGTTATTTTACAAAATAAGTTGTTTTATTTGATTCTACATAACTTTTTTTTAAGAGGACCGAATTTATTATTTTTTTAATAGGTCCGAATATTTTTTTTTGGGAAGTCCGGAAATATTTTTTTTTATTATGGCCGAAAATATTTGGCCTTTTCATGATTAATTTTCGGAATTTATTTTCTTAAAAAAAAAGGGAGTCAAAATATTTTTTTTTTTAGTTTGTTCGTTTTGCAGGAAAAGCAAATGATTAAGGTATGAATTATGTGTTAAAAAGCTTTAAAAGCATGTTTGTTAGCTTGCGTAGGAAAGAATTTGGGGCATAAAAGTTAGAATTATTCATGTTCTTGTATGAATTAATATCTAGGTTGTGATGTTGGATCATATGAGTGAATAATGTGGAATCATGTCATTATGTGATTAGAAATAAGAAGATTCACTAGTAGAAAAAACAT